CAGTTGCTAAGATGCTGACCGTAATTTCTAAACAGAAAAATCTCTATACACAATATGCTAGAGGATACAATGGGACAGAATATATAAATTTAGCAATGTCCCAGAAAATCAGTAGTGTACTAAAAGAGGGGTATTAGCCCTTCAAATAATTCTCTGCGGTGAGAAAGACTGCTTTGCTCACTTCTACGTTATTCTTTCTTAACGATTTGTTTTCCTAGTAATTGCTGTGTATCTTGAATCTAGTTCTTCATCCTTAGGAAGAAACCTTTCTGAGGAAATTAAATGCTATTAGATTGGCATTTGAAATAACGAATTTGACAGTATGTCTAAGTTAAACAATATCTCGATATGGTTATGAAGACGGTAATACCTGGCATGTTCCTCATGGAGCAGTGAAATTCCATGCCACTGCTGTGGGTCAAAACATGTCCACAGATTTTTTTTTTTTTTTGAGACAGAGTTTTGCTCTTGTTGCTGGAGTGCAATGACGCGACCTTGGCTCACTGCAACCTCCGCCTCCCGGGTTCAAACAATTCTTCTGCCTCAGCCTCCCGAGTAGCTGAGATTACAGTCATGTGCCACCACACCTGGCTAATTTTTTATTTTTATTAGAGAATGAGTTTCTCCATGTTGGTCAGACTGGTCTGGAACTCCCAACCTCAAGGGATCTGCCTGCCTCGGCCTCCCAAAGTGCTGGGATTACAGGCGTGAGCCACCACGACCGGCCTTTTATGTCTCCAGTTTTTAAGGGACCATGTAGACCTAAGTTCTCTTCCTTGCAGAGAACTTTCCTGGAGTAGCACTAGATAACTTAGTTGGTGCCCAGCAAATGTGTTGACTGAAGAATACAATGCACCACAGATGCTATCCTGATCACAATTTCTTTACTAAAGTGTTGTAGTGGAATTCTGGTGGTGGCTTTTAATTCTTTCTCATTCAGAAGCTAGAAGGCAAAATTGGGTGGGACCTGGGAAGGAGCGTAGCTGGGCTATTTAACATCTGAGAATATGTGTGTTCGTGAAAGTAAACTCAGCTTCTAATGCGAAAATATCAATTAGGATCAATGAAATTAATAGCATACAATTTTTCTTCTCTTGAGACATGTAACTTTTTTGGATTGCCTCTGATCCTCTCTTCTTGGTAAGGTCTGCCCAACAATTCTTTTAGCTCCCTGTCACCAGACTTACCACTGGGTAGTGGATATACCCCAAATTATTCATTTGATAGAACTTTTCTTTACCATTCTCAGTATCATGTGGAAGAAAGTCAACTGTTGTACCTGCTAAGCTATTTGAAGAGGTGCTTTAAATAGCATGTTAAACTAGCCTGATATTTAATTGGGTTTTTAAGACACAGCAAGTAGACTTCTGTATTTGGGTGTGCTATTTGAAGAATGGGTCAATCTGACCTTCTAGCCTTTCATAAATATGCTCTTGGTGTAAGAATGGAACACTGGTGTGCTTGTTCAGTTGTGGGTAAGGCTGTTTATGGGGTGGTATTTAAGCAGAACATCGTTCTTTAAGACTTTTTACTCAAAGATACTTTCTGTGTTTCAGCCACTTTATTTCCTTTCCATTCCTTCTCTTCCCAATCCTACTTGTTATTTAGGTGTAGTATTTCTTGTTAGATGTAGATTTGAAAAAAGACGAAAGCACAGCAATTAAGACTTAATGTTTGGAAGAAATAATAGGAATTAATAGAAACAGAACAACTTTATAGTCTTCGTTTTCTTCTTATCCAAGTTATATTTGCCTCGAATGCAGTGAGTCCAACCCAATCAGGAGGCTGTTGTTGAGATGTAGAGAGAAAAATTGTGAGATCCAAAAGTTGCTTTTGGCAGCAGTGTCTATATTTACAATGTGAGGGTGAACAACACTCCAGGAGGTACTTCACCAAGGGAAAACAGAGCTACTAGCTATGAAGACAACCAGTGAAGGTAGCAGGTCTGGAGGAAACTGGCAGAGCAGATGTATTCCACAGCATCAGCTGTAACACAGATTCTCATCAGCATGTTAATTTGGGGTAGAAGAGAAGACCAGGTTTTCAGGCATCTTTGTATTGTTGGGACACCTTATAAGTGGTGAGAATGTCAGAGAGCTGCAAAAATACACAGCCGTTCATCCTTTCCATGGCTTGAGTTAACATTCTACCCACTTCAAATATGAACCATATTCATTATTTGAGAGATGGGGAGGTAGGGGCACTGAACTGATTAGTAAGCTGCTTGCAACATAGTGCAGTATTTTTAGATGGGAAAGATTTTGCCTAGCTTTCGGCTACTGATGAGCTTTATTAATAAAAGGGAAAATTATGACTATTCAGTTTTTAGGTTGCTGAAGAAACACATTTCTATCTTGCCATAGCCACCTCTCTATCTGAAAAGCCGCAAGTGTTATTGCAGTTTCCTCCCCCACCCTCACCCTCCATGTAGGTGGTGCCTGGGAACATGCCCAGAACCCTTTGAAAAAAGACGAACAGGGGAAGGAATCATAGCGGAGGGGAGAGTAGCTTCCAAATAGAAGAGACTGCATATGCCAGCAGCAGGGAGGCTGGTAGAGGAAGGGCTGCCTCTGGAGACTGTTAAGCGGGGTTGATGGTCTCTTGATTGTGTATTTTTTTTCCATCACCAAAATAACAGTATATTGAGTTGGAAGTCATTACCTTGGTCCTGGATTAATTTCTTCAGTGAAAACTAGCTTTGCTGACTGCAGAAATCATGTGAACACGCAATGAGAAATCCTATCTAGAAGGGCAAACGCTGACCTGTGGCCACCTCAATGAGTTTTTTTTTTTTTTTTTTTTTTTTTTTAAAGACAATTGTCCTTTTGACGTTTAAGCTATTTATCATTAAAATTTTAACACCTAAACTAAAAAAGCTGCTTTGGATGTATAAAGATATTTGTTAATCAAGCTCTGGTGCAGTATATGTGGTTTGGCTTGAGTCTTTATTTACTTTCTTATTTATCTTTGAAACTTGATTGATTTATCTTACACAAGAAAGTCTTTTTTTCTTTCCCTTTTAAAACCATATCCTAATTGTGTGGAAACACAAGAAAGGATTTTGAAATGATTGCTCATTCTACAGGTATTCATTGAATGCCTTCCTACATGTTTTAAGACCCTGGGCTGAGTGCCAGCATAGGTAGCTCATTCCCTTCCATGCCTTTAGGATGTGTTCCTAGATTTAATTAAACAGGATCTGTCCTCTGTCTCCTCCTTATTTCACAGAGTAGGCTAACGAAAACTTGCCCCGTTAGATGCTGAACTAGGATAAATTTTAAATAGAAGTACCCACAGGGTTTTCTCTTAGGCCTGGTACTCATAGTATGCATGGCTATTACCGCATGGCTGGTCTCTGCTTTCATTCTTGCTGTGAACTGTGCTAGACCTGTGCTCCCTTGATTACTGCCTTATTACCTGTGGAGTCCTGCTAATTCAGTTTTTAATTTGTTTATATTAGCTGCTTATGCCTAGGCTGCCCCCTTAAACCCGATTCTTACACTGCAGTCTGGTGCTCTCCTAGCTGAAGAGTACATGTGAAAGAGGAGGGGAAGCTTTTGCAGCTGTAACTAATGGGTAGTTTACTGTTCCTGGCTTTAAAATGGCTATAACCATGTTGCCAGTATTATGCAGAGAAGATTTTAATCTGTAGTCGTTTACATTTCTGAAGTATTTGCTAAAGGCTTAGCTTAATGGATTCTCCATGGGAACCTTTTCAGATTTAGTCAGATTGTGAACAGAATCTCAGTTCAGATTCTCAAGCCATCCTGCTTATTTCAGGATGGTGAAGTTTATTTTATTTTGAAGGGGGTTTGTCAGAGTTTAAACAGGAGTTCAGCAGATTTAAACCGTGTAATAAAAGTGTTACGTACTGTATAAATCTATAATTCATATTAATTGCAAGCTGTTTGCTGTTGATCAGAGTCAGTTTTCCAAGTATCCTTCAAAGAATTATCTAGTTCTGGTTTATTTCATTTAAGGTATTTTTTAATACAGAGTTTACCAAGTCATTATTTTCTCCTTCATTCAGATTAGTCCTAATGAGTTAGAATTGACTATAGTGTTATATGAGTTTTTCAGTTTTTCTTTATCATTTTGGTATTTTAAATTTTTTACTAGGATAGAAGGTTTTGGGGATAGTACATTGGCTTTGTGAAGTATAGACAGACATATGGTTGGGCTCTGAGTATTGGCACCCTAATGCCCATCACCATTTCTAGGCATCTCTTCATAATTCTTTGAGAAAGCAAGACCATTGCCAACTTTAGGAATATGCTACAAGAGAATATTCTGAAAACAAAAACCAAAAAACCCCAGTAACACTATGAGATTCTGTTTTCTGAAAGATTTGGGAAGGGGGTAAAGAGTTTACCATGTCAGGGTTGTAAGAGGGAGGAAAACTTTATGGAATGTGAGAAAGATTTATAAAATTGGACAAATACTAAAAGAAGTTGGGTTTAGGCCAGGCACAGCGGCTCAAGCCTGTAATCCCAGTACTTTGGGAGGCCGAGGTGGGTGGATCACGAGGTCAAGAGATCGAGACCATCCTGGTCAACATGGTGAAACCCTGTCTCTACTAAAAATACAAAAAATTAGCTGGGCATGGTGGTGTGCGCCTGTAATCCCAGCTACTCAGGAGGCTGAGGCAGGAGAATTGCCTGAACCCAGGAGGCGGAGGTTGCGGTGAGCTGAGATGGCACCACCATTGCACTCCAGCCTGGGTAACAAGCCTATGAAACTCCGTCTCAAAAAAAAAAGAAGTTGAGCTTAACCTTAGCCCCTCCTTCCAAATCCTGCAGAAATAACTGGGAGGAGAAAGTGATTGATGTTTTGGGAGAAGTCAGAGAGTAGCCTTGCTTTCCCCTGTTTCTGGTGGGAAAGTTGCTGGCTTAGTAGGAGCCATGTGATAACATTGGCTTTTAGGAAAGACAATTTAAAAAATAGAACATTTCATGGAATTTCCTTACAAGTTTTCAACTTTTTGTCTTTCTTTTGTATAGCAAATCCAGTTTGCTGATGACATGCAGGAGTTCACCAAATTCCCCACCAAAACTGGCCGAAGATCTTTGTCTCGCTCCATCTCACAGTCCTCTACTGATAGCTACAGTTCAGGTAGATGTGAATGAACTCCATGACCTCTCGAATCTCTCTTCCCTGTTTGCTACCAGTGCTCTTCACTTACCAGTCTGAAAATACCTCCTGTTATGACTGCCCACCTTTGTGCTGAAAACAGTTAGTGGCTGGGTGGTGGGAATGTTCTGCAGCCAGGCTAGTAGCTGGGGAAGCTTTTGTCGACTCGAGACTTTCTTCCCCCTGGCTGTCTATGTGTGTGGTCTGTGGCCAGTGCCCCGTTGGTAGGACTGGGCTAGTTCCCATTCCCACATTGATCTGCCCACATTTCAAAGGAAGAAATCAATGCTATTTTGGCTGACAGAATTGGCCTTGAAAACGAAGTGCATTTCGAAGCATGATTTCTTTGTATAAAATATACCCTGACATCTATCTTTTTCTTTTTTGTCCCCAAGACTACTTAGATTGTAACAATAACGGCTTAGATTGTAGTTAGTATTTTGGCTTCTTTTATTTTACTAGGTTATTCCTTCTATTGAAATATCCTCCCCTGTTAGCCTCTGAAGTAGGAAAGATTCAGACTCTACTATAATGTGACTCCAGCTGTTTCTTTTTAGTTCTCTTCTGTCTTAACTCTCTATAAGTAAAGTCTTTTTCTGATTCATATCATGTCCTTCCCAACTATAGAACATGTATTAGAAAATTAGCATAGAAAAGAATATAGAATCTTGGCAACTGAATATAGGAGAAAACATTAGGTTTATCTAATGGGGCATCCAGTAAAACCTTGTCATTGTTTGACTGAAAACTCACTGTTAAAAGATTACAGGTTACAGATTGCTATTAATGATCAGCAGAGACATTTGTACTAAAAGCCATTCATTGTCCTTTGCCAGAATACCTTTTGCATTGTATTATTAACATTAAGGATTAACATAAATGAAAAGCCATTGGAGTGACAGATAAAAAGAGGTGGGTGACAAGCAGGCTAATTGTAGCTAAGAAAGAAGAAAACTTGTGAAAAGTTGAGTTATGAGAAGAAGAATGATAAAATGACTGAAGAAGGCTTTTAAAAAGTCTTCAAAGATCTTGATGGCCATGTTACAGAAATGTATTAGAGCCTTTTAAAAAGCTTAGTGATATGGTTAAATTGTCATAGTGGGGAAAGATAATCTTTTTTTTTTTTTTTTTTAAAAGACAGAGTCTCCCTCTGTTGCCTGGGTGGAGTGCAGTAGTGTAATGGCAGCTCACTGCAACCTCTGCCTCTTTTGTTCAAGAGATTCTCCTGCCTCAGTCTTCCCAAGTAGCTGGGATTACAGGCACATGCCACCACACCTAGCTAATTTTTGTATTTTTAGTAGAGATGGGGTTTCACCATGTTGGCCAGGATGGTCTCAATCTCTTGACCTCTTGATCCACCTGCCTCGGCCTCCCAAAGTGCTGGGATTACAGGTGTGAGCCACTGCACCTGGCCGGAAGGTAGTCTTTAGTGGTATTTGCGTTAGCTAGACAGGAGGAGGGCCTGTATATAGAAGTCAGTCTATCTATTCCTTGAGCACAAGCTAGTGTAAAATCCCTTGTAAGACTATCTTACCACTTTGTCTTTACCCTTGGTTCTTAAAGTGAGGTCCTCTGACTAACGGCATCAGCAGCACCTGGTAACATGCTGGAACTACTGAATCTTAGGTGCCACTCCATACCTACCAAATGGGAAACTGGCCATGGGGGTCTAGTAATAAGATATTTTAACAAACCTTCCATGTGATTGTGATAGATGCTTGAATTTAAGAACCAGTGATCTATAGAAATAGCTTTCCCGTTTTCGCCAGGTTTCCAATCCAGATGGGACCAGGTACCTCTATTATCCGGAATTACTATAGTTGGTACAGGTTTAAAATTAGTGGTCTCTTATCACAGGCACTAATAGCACAGTATTGTTAGGGTGGGTGAAAGAGCTGCAACACAGAAGCATCCACAACTGTTTCATTTATACCACTTATTAGAACCTAGAGGAGCAGAACTGAGAGGGTTGTGAAAGGTAGCTCCAATTAAGAGTGTTCCCCTAACTTAAATGAAAGTCCCTTTGGGACCGCACTGCAGAGTTGGGGCCACTGAGGTTTTTCTATCCTTGTTTTTTTTTCTTTCCTGGCCCTAGCTGCATCCTACACAGATAGCTCTGATGATGAGGTTTCTCCCCGAGAGAAGCAGCAAACCAACTCCAAGGGTAGCAGCAATTTCTGTGTGAAGAACATCAAGCAGGCAGAATTTGGACGCCGGGAGATTGAGATTGCAGAGCAAGGTAAAGAAAGGGAGTGGGTTAGGGGGCCAGAAGCAACCCTCTTGTTGGCCGTCAGATCCACAAACAACTTAAGACTTGAAAGCTGACTTGAAAATATACTAGGAAGAAAGACTGTATTATGGACTTTAGGATAAACACTTCTGTCTCTATGGAACTTGAGTCTCAGGACTCTTGTTCTCTCTTTCTCCTGTTCTCAGCATGTGGTGGTTAGACACAGATAGTTTCTGTTTTCCTCCCCCTTCCCCCTACCCCACCACCATATTCAAAGATCTACATGCCAGAGTTGGCAAGTCCTAGATCACTACGTGGTAGTTGGTTATATGGAATCTTGCTATAGTTGCCAATGGCAGAGACCCAGATTGCCCAGAAGCAGCTGATGAGGAACAGTTTTAAGCTAAGGATGTGGTGACCTAGAGTCTTGTTTGGTCCTGAGAACCCTCTGCTGACACAGAGTCGAAATAACTGACAAGTTAAATCTTGGTTTCTCTATTCCAGCCACTCCCAGTAAGGTCGTCTTTACTCTTGTGTTGTTTACACATTGAAGGCACGTTCTATACTGACAGGGAGTAGAGAAACAAAACAGACTGACAGGATATGGTAAGACAACATAGAAAAACAGAAGTTAGTGGGTTCCACTGAGGGTACAGTCTTCCTGGTCTGATGATTCTACATAGGAATCCATTAGCCAATGCCTTAACTCTCTCTCTTCCCAAATGAATGATGAGACTCACCCTTCATTTTGATCAGTTTTGAGGATTTACTTCATTCTCTGTTCAGCCCTCTGCATATAAAGCTGAAGCAGTAGAGGAAGAGAGAAACTCCAAGTGGTTGCATGACAGCTCTCCACTGTTACTTTGCTGTTGAAGCTGCCAGTTGTCATGGAAATAGGCTTAAAGTTTTTCTGCCTCATTTCACCGTATCTCTGCAGATCCAGACCAGCTCTGGGGCAGAAACTGATGATACTGCTAGTGCAGACCTAGCTTAAATCCTCTGTTCTTTCACAGACATGTCTGCTCTGATTTCACTCAGGAAACGTGCTCAGGGGGAGAAGCCCTTGGCTGGTGCTAAAATAGTGGGCTGTACACATATCACGGCCCAGACAGCGGTGAGTTTGTTGGAAGAAAAGAGGGACTTCTGACGAGGGGAAGAAAGAAATGGATTTTTTGTTTGTTTCACTTTTCCTAACTCGCCAACCTCCAAATGCGAGTTTGGAGAATCTTATTAGTAGGATCTCCCAATTAACACAATAACGGGGTTTTCTGTTTTTGTTTGTGTAAGCCAACTCACTTTTAGCAAACTTGACCTAGGAAGGTCTAGATTTGCAAACATATGATTGTTTTAAGGATGTTATCAAGACTTTTAGAAATCTATGTTTTATGTAAAGTGAAATACCAGTGCACCACTTTGCTGGATTACACCCTTTTGTAACTTCCCAGTGTAGTGCCTGTTGGTGCAGAGTTGATAAATATTGTTACCTTGCTGAGGTTTGCTCTCTATTTCTGGGTGGCCCTTCTCTTCCTCACCCTGTCTTCCTACACCTCTTACACAGGTGTTGATTGAGACACTCTGTGCCCTGGGGGCTCAGTGCCGCTGGTCTGCTTGTAACATCTACTCAACTCAGAATGAAGTGGCTGCAGCACTGGCTGAGGCTGGTAAGTTCAGATTTTTTCACTAACTTTGCCCCAAAATAATTATCCAAATATATAAGTTTTATGTATCAAAATTGTCATTACAATATCATATATGTCTAGAGGCTGCAAAATTGGGGATGATAACAACCTCAACAGGAAAGAAGTGGATAATAAAATTAAAATGTATATTCATGATGGAATATTATATAGTCATTAAAAATGACCTTTGATGCCTGGCACGGTGACTCATGCCTGTAATCCTAGCACTTTGGGAGGCTGAGGTGGGTGGATCATGAGGTCAGGAGATCAAGAACACCCTGGCTAACACGGTGAAACCCTGTCTCTACTAAAAATATATTTAGAAAAAAATTAGCTGGGCATGGTGCCAGGTGCATATAGGTCCCAGCTACTTGGGAGGCTGAGGCAGGAGAATAGCTTGAACCCAAGAGGCAGAGATTGTAGTGAGCCAAGATCGTGCCACTGCACTCCACCCTGGTGACAGAGTGAAACTCCATCTCAAAAAAAAAAAAATGGCCGGGCACGGTGGCTCAAGCCTGTAATCCCAGCACTTTGGGAGGCCGAGGTGAGTGGATCACGAGGTCAAGAGATCGAGACTGTCCTGGTCCACATGGTGAAACCCCGTCTCTACTAAAAATACACAAAAAAAAAATTAGCTGGGCGTGGTGGCGCGTGCCTGTAATCCCAGCTACTCAGGAGGCTGAGGCAGGAGAATTGCCTGAACCCAGGAGACGGAGGTTGCAGTGAGCCGAGATCGCGCCATTGCACTCCAGCCTGGGTAACAAGAGCGAAACTCTGTCTCAAAAAAAAAAAACAAAAAAACAAAAAAACATGACCTTTGAAAAGAATCTAATGACAGGGGGAAATGCACAGTTCTAATGTTAGTTGAACAAGGAAAAATGTTGAACTATGTAAGTGCTATCAATTTTGTGAGAAAGCACAAGTAAAAAGTACCTTTTATGTTGGTAGTGCATTAAATAATTTGGTATTCAGTATGGCATCGAAAATATATGGGCTTTTCGTGAGTTTAATTAAACATAAAATAATTTTTATTATTCATTCAGGCACGGTGGCCCACGTCTATAATCCTAGCACTTTGGGAGGCCAAAGCGGGCAGATCACTTGAGGCCAGGAGTTCAAGACCAGCCTGGCCAACATGGCAAAACCCAGTCTCTACTAAAAATACAAAAATTAGCTGAGAGTGGTGGTGTGCGCCTGTAATCCCAGCTACTTAGGGGGCTGAGGCAGGAGAATTGCTTGAACCTGGGAGGCAGAGGTTGCAGTGAGCTGCAGTGATCTGAGATCGTGCCACTGCAATGCAGCCTGGGCAACAGAGTGAAACTCCATCTCAAAAATAATAATAATAATTTTTATTATTCAAATATTCAGAAGAAAATCACTGTGAAGTTTCTTTGAGGACCTCTCATCTTTCTTTTTTTGTTTTTTCTTCAGACAGTCTCACTCTGTTGCCCAGGCTGGAGTGTAGTAGCACAATCTCGACCCACTACAACCTCTGCCTCCTGGGTTCAAGTGATTCTTGTGCCTCAGCCTCATGAGAAGCTGGGATTGCAGGTGCACACCACCACACCCAGATAATTTTTGTATTTTTAGTAAAGATGCGGTTTCACCATGTTGGCCAGACTGATCTCGAACTCCTGACCTCCAGTGATCAGCCTGCCATGGCTCCCCAAAGTGTGGCATTATAGGCATGAGTCACCACACCTGGCTGGACCTCTTACCTTTCTAAGATGCTCAGAAAGCAACTTTATAATACTTTTGGGGTTTTTTTGTTTATTCTTTTCTGATAAGTGATAAAGGCTTTAGGACTGTATTTCAAAAATTTTAGGAAGTTCCCAAAAACCTAAAATCCTACTACATGTAGCATTTGATGAATTTTTTTCCTTTTCCTTTTTTCTACTTTACATGGATGAAATAATCGTAACATGTATACAGTTTTATATTTTATTTTATAAATATAATATTTATATAATAAATATATTTATATATTTATATAATAAATATAATATATTTACGCCTAAATATAATATTTTCAGACGTAATTTTCCATGTCACTGAAAACTTTGACAACATCATTTGTAATACTCATGGCTATGTGATTTTACTTGACTATTTTCCTAATTTTGAACATTTAGGTTGTTTCAAGATGTTTACTAATATCAGTAATGCTCCAGTTAACAACTTTGTATTAACTCCCACTTCGTTTTGTCTCCTTCTGTGCATAAAATTAGCCCAAAGAAAGGAACAGTTTAAAGTTCCAAAATACTTTTAAAACAAAAATTCTTTCATTTCTTAACCGAAAGAATTTCTGAGCCAAAAATGATTCTTTGACTTTTTGCTCTAAGTCTTTTCCTTTATGAAATAGTTTATTTTGCCTTTTTCTTTTCCCATGGATCTCAGAAAGTGATTTGGTCCAGGACACTCCTGAGAGGAGGAATCAGCTGATTCATTTCTGTCTCTACAGGAGTTGCAGTGTTCGCTTGGAAGGGCGAGTCAGAAGATGACTTCTGGTGGTGTATTGACCGCTGTGTGAACATGGATGGGTGGCAGGCCAACATGGTAATAACGCATATCTGTCCTACAGTTTGACAATAGATTTATTTCCTTTTTTTCCCTCAAAGCATGGTTCCCTAAATATGTTTTGGATGTTTGGTCTTATGCACTGACTTTGTTGCTAAAGTGTTTAGCTTGCTACCTATTCAGAATGGGTCTGAGTACTGAATGGAAAGGTGGGGGAAGGGTAAACTAGCTGAACACATGGCTCAAACACACCAGAATGAAATAGTGGTGCTGCTTTGGAGTAGGATTCTGCCTTCTTTCCTTCCTGCTCCAGTTCTCCTTTTGCATTCAAAGGGGCTATATATTTCAAGACTAGACTAAAAATGAGTCTGCGATTAGCTTAATACTCATCACTGTAGCCTAAAACAAACGTAGGAATCCTTTTAACCCTTTTACACCAACAAATTTGACTGTATTTCTACTGTCTAAGCCTGCTCTAAGGAGCTCTGAGGAGTACTCTTCCAAAACATACAGGGCTCTCTTACTAGTACAGAAAGTGGGTTCAAAGTTCCTCCCAGCCCTAGCAGCCTGAATGCCCATAGAAGTCTTCTGGCTGTTCTATAGATCCTGGATGATGGGGGAGACTTAACCCACTGGGTTTATAAGAAGTATCCAAACGTGTTTAAGAAGATCCGAGGCATTGTGGAAGAGAGCGTGACTGGTGTTCACAGGTAACAGATTCTGGAGTAGCTGCCCCTTGTGTCCTTGCCTCAGCAAACTTTTCTGGTCTCTGTTAGGCTTTAGGACTGTGTTTCAGACTTACAACTAAATGGGAATATCTTCATTAGATAAAACTTTTGAGTTTTTACTTTTGAAAAATCAAGTGGACCCTAGAAGGAAGTTATTTCAGGTTCTAGTTCATACATTTTTCTCTCCCATTTACTGCACTGAGTGATTCTCAACTAGTGTTGAGGGGCGGATAGGGAATAAGTGTATCTTGAAAAACTGTATTCAATATTGTATTATCATTTTATATTTGAAATATGAAAAACAATCCTATTGTAAAACTACGTTATACATACTATGAAAAGTAAAACTGGGCAAAATATTCTTGGCTTGTCGGAATACTGAAAAGATATCTGAGTGTTTCTTGGGGGCACATTGTGCATGCTTACACACACACACACACACACACACACACAGAACCATATCAGAATCATTGATAGTCTTTGTTTATCAGAAGTAGGCATGGGGTTCTATTGAAAAATGCTAATCAAAGGAAATAACACTCCCTATAGGGGGAAGAGAAGTACATTTCTTCAGTTGAAAGGTTTTTCTTTTCTTCCAAAAAAGGGGTAAAGGGAGAAGAAAATGAAAAGAAGTGTGGAGGGATGACAAGGAAATAATCATGTTTTCTGATATCCTTGGGCAATAAATGAAACTGGGAAGGGCAGCATGGAACTTGAAGAGAATTAGGCAGATTTTGCCACGTTTTATGTTCTGCCAGCTAACTTGGTTTTTGTTTGTTTTTGTGACCTCTTCTCCCTTTAGGTTATATCAGCTCTCCAAAGCTGGGAAGCTCTGTGTTCCAGCCATGAACGTCAATGATTCTGTTACCAAACAGAAGTTTGATAACTTGTACTGCTGCCGAGAATCCATTTTGGATGGGTAGGTTGAATGTATGTATATTCAAACTTTTATGGGCTCCGGTCTTGTCCCCTGGTCTTCCTTTGGCTTTAAAAGTTTATTGGAGGGACCGTTTTATACTGAGCACAGCCAGCTTCCAGTTGACATTCTCATGGGCATTGGCCCACACTTTTGACTTTGTGAAGAGGGACTGAGTTTGAGCTGTTAATGTTTGAGTTGAGCCCTTGTCTGTTTCCACAGCCTGAAGAGGACCACAGATGTGATGTTTGGTGGGAAACAAGTGGTGGTGTGTGGCTATGGTGAGGTAAATAGCTGGGTCTCAGTGTCTGTTCCTTTTTGTGTACTTGGGTGAAGGAGGCTTGTGCTGTCAATATAGAATCACTGATGCAAGGTTTAAATGTTTTTAGATAATGTATCTCAAACAATAGCAAAAGTCGTTTGTTCAGATTTATGAATAGAAACATACAAAATGAAGAGTTTTCAGATTTTACCATTTTGTCTTGTGGAATAGATAACAGTATCATTTTCCCCAATTATAGAACAGTAATTTTTAATGAGACTTAAGTGAATATGTAGCATTTTAGCTCCCCAAGTGACTTGCAGTAGAATTAAGGGTGGAATCTGAAATGGCATATAATTGTTTATCTCCAAACTGGAATAGGTCACATATTTTGTTGTCTTCAGCAATGACCCACTTAAGGCTATCCTTAAGTAGACTCATCTCAAGTAAGAGAACAAGAAGTTAGAGGTTGCTTAGAGTAAGTTGTTTTTGCTTAGTCTTGTTTCCCCAGTGAAAACTGCTATGCAAAGCCCCAGTCCTTCCTAGGAGATGTCTGCTAAATTACCTCTCTAACAGGTTCACAGCCTAATCTGGGTCTGTTTCTGTTCTGCTTGGGATTGAAGTATCTGTGCAGGTGCTCACCAGATGATGGGTTATTTCATGAAGGTTAATTCCTGTCTCACAAAAAACCTACCTACCCTAAATATCCGTGACTTAATGAACCCAACGACTTGACCTTTCTTTTGTTCTGCAGGTAGGTAAGGGCTGCTGTGCTGCTCTGAAAGGCTCTTGGAGCAATTGTCTACATTACGGAAATCGACCCCATCTGTGCTCTGCAGGCCTGGTAAGAGAACAGTGATAATACTATTAGATTCACTCCAGGTACTTTATGTTTCTGAGAATTCATAATTGACTATATTAATCAGTTTCGCAGAAATCACTTAGGAGCAGAGAAGGCTAAGATTGCTGTGTTCTTCTCACTTTAACCCTGGGGCTTTCTTAGAGCCTCTTGGCATTTTTCCTTCCTGGATGGAGTCGCGGGGACTCTGAAGAGGCCAGTGTATATAGTTTAGCACAGCGTATCACTCACCATTCCTGTGAGGTGGCACTGGATCCAACTTTAGAAGGGGATCTTGCCGTCTCATTTCATGACCATCTTCCCTCCCGCTGCCTTCCTGCTTTACTCATAGTGTTTTCTTTTCCTCCAGCATGGATGGGTTCAGGGTGGTAAAGCTAAATGAAGTCATCCGGCAAGTCGATGTCGTAATAACTTGCACAGGTAAATAACCTGCATAGAGGAGTGTTTATTCAGAGGCTAAATCTTGAAAGTAGTCTGACTTATACAGAGGAGCTGAGACCTCTGTTCAGTATAAAGATCGCAGAACTAGAGTAAGCTATCAGAACCTTAACGTATTTTCCAGAGTGAAAAACCTTTTTCCATGGTGACTTTGTATACTGCTTCATCTTAAGACCAGGTAGCCTAAGGAGCTGTTTATGCACGTCTTCTCTCAGAATGTGTACATGCTCTTCAGTGCCAGCAAACCTCCTGTCTCCTGAGTTCTGCCTGCAAGCTAGCCGGTACCTTTGTTGCCCGGCATCTCTTTCCTTAGCCACCCATCTTTACTTTTAGGAAATAAGAATGTAGTGACACGGGAGCACTTGGATCGCATGAAAAACAGTTGTATTGTATGCAATATGGGCCACTCCAACACGGAAATCGATGTGGTAAGCCTTCTTTCATGTGTTGCTAGGCATTTCTCCCCTACCTTTCATTAATAACCATAGTCAACTATGCTTGCTTTCTTTCAGACCAGCCTCCGCACTCCGGAGCTGACATGGGAGCGAGTACGTTCTCAGGTGGACCATGTCATTTGGCCAGATGGCAAACGAGTTGTCCTCCTGGCAGAGGTACACGCAGAGAAGGACCCTGGAGAGCAGCACAAGCAGAGTAGTTAGATCCATGGGGGGAGAGAGAAGGGAAAGAAATATTGGGCCTGTGTTTCCCTGAATTTCATCTTTGGAGAGAGAGAGATTTCACAAATTGGTCCCCAAAATAAAACCACTTAAAAAAAAAAAAAACCTATTCTTTACTAAGTAACACTATTTCCTAACCACAGCTGATTCTTTAACCTTTCAGACTCAGATGGATTTGCAGAAAATAGGAAAAAGCCTAGACTCCTGATCTGGAACTGTAATTCTTCCTCTTCCAACTGAGTCTAGAGGGGTATAAAGTCCTCTCCCACTTTGGCTTGACTTGTATCATTGGAATCTGAGACAGAGCTCATCCCAGGGGGCTCTCTCTTACCTTTCCAGGGTCGTCTACTCAATTTGAGCTGCTCCACAGTTCCCACCTTTGTTCTGTCCATCACAGCCACAACACAGGTATGTGGCAAAATGCCTGCTTACGCTGCACTGCGATTTATGGAACTGGGCATAGATCAGAGTTCCAGTGAGAGTGTGCTGTACAATGTTCTCATCAACCTATTCTTTTTTGTTTAATAAATTGTTGAGACTTAGGCATTCTGAAGTATAGAAGAGTCACCTGTCCTGAATAACATGGTGAAATCCCATCTCTACCAAAAATAGAAAAAATTAGCTGGGCATGGTGGCACACGCCTGTAGTCCCAGCTACTCGGGAGGGTGAGGCAGGAGAATCACTTGAACCCGGGAGGCGGAGGTTATAGTGAGCCGAGATCATACCACTGCACTCCAACCTGGGTGACAGAGTGAGACTGTCTCAAAAAAAAAAAAAAAAAAAAAAGAGGAAAAAGAAGAGTCACTAGTCACTGTTGAATTGGCTGTTTTAGTTGAGAATATAATGTTCCAGCATAGTTTTATTTGACTCCTTATTTTGTCAGGAACTAAACAATAACAACAAATCCTCTTATGACGTGTGCTGACCTTTAGTATAGGCAAAGACCTAGATACTGTCACTGTGGTAGATCACTGTAGTACTTACCCAAATGCTGTTAAACCTGATTTGATTTGTATGTGCTTAAGAAATGTTTTTGTGTCGTCTGGCCTTCTTTTCCCACCTTAGGCTTTGGCACTGATAGAACTCTATAATGCACCTGAAGGACGATACAAGCAGGATGTGTACTTGCTTCCTAAGAAAATGGGTGAGTGAAAAACAGTGGAAACCTGTGCAGACAGCTGCATAGTTTGGTAAAATGACTGCTATGAAAGGCATTAGATTTATTAGAATCAGAGTTCCAGTTCCTGTTCTTATGCTTAGTGGTTGTTTGACTTCAGGAAAAATTCCAGTCTCCATGAGCCTCAGCTTCTTGATTGGTAAAATGAGAATAATACTACATACATTGTAGAATTGTGCAAGAATCACAGCTAATGAGTAACAGTACTTAATACAATGGTTTAGGATAGATGTTCTTATTCTAAGTAGCCTTATGAAGTTCAGTAAACTTCCCAGTGCAGCTGAGTATATACAGCCTTGGACCAAAATGAGAGAAACAAACACAGGTTTTGTCGTCCATTTTCTGTGAGGATATGCAGGCTATCCAATCTCTTGTAAGCGGCTTGTGCTGTGTTCATATGACATAATACATAGTCTCTAGCCCTTTACCTTTCTGCATGGTGGTACCCATCTGCCATACCTCCTTGGCCAGCCCAAATCCCTGACTTCTTAATGCTAAGATACTTCTTGCTCTCCTCTCCTCCAATAGCTTACTTCAGACTTCTTTTTAAATATATAATTATAAAAGGGAAGCTTATCTGTGGAAAAGTAATAATGTTGTGCCAACTACCTTAGAAATCCATGATCCTAAGATTTGATCCTAAGATCCGTGGCTCTTATCCTAAATGAGTGTTAATGACACAGGCTCTTTTTAGCTTACTGGTGTCCACTGTGATTCATAATTTGACTATCATTTAATCTAGTTAAGGAAGTTGCTGCAAGAAGGTAGGGGTAGCATGTGACATGTTGGCCACTGAAGGGAAGCCCCCAGCTTTGCCAGAGAAGGGTAGAGAGGTAAAAGCCACCCCCTTTTATTACTGGTAAGTGGTTTTCTGAACGCACTTGAGATATGCTGAGAGAAGCGCCCTGCCAAGAAAGGCAGCTTTGAGATTTTTTTTTAGTTAAGCAAATATTTCAAGTTGTGAATTCTTTCAGTTATTCCACCCCTTGTCTGCTTTCTTAAAAAAGCTTCAAATGAAAATAGAGGGAAGTTATAAGCCGAGAGGCATATTGAAAAGGAGTCTGCTCTCCTGCCACTTTGCTCTTCCTAGATGAATATGTTGCCAGCTTGCACCTGCCATCATTTGATGCCCACCTTACAGAGCTGACAGATGACCAAGCAAAATATCTGGGACTCAACAAAAACGGGCCATTCAAACCTAATTATTACAGGTAACCTGAGGAGAAGCAAGTGAAAAGCTCTTTTTCCCAGTATTAAACCAAGCAGGCTAGCCTGTTTCTGACATAAAGATCAAATGTTGTGCCTGATTTTGAAGAGTACAAGAAATGTGTTCCAGGCCAGGTATGATGGCTCACGCCTGTAATCCCAGCACATTGAGAGGCCTAGGCGCATGGATCACTTGAGGTCAGGAGTTCAAGACCAGCCTGGCCAACATGGCAAAACCCTATCTCTGAGCTGAGTATGGGGCCATGCGCCTGTAATCATAGCGACTCAGGAGGCTGTGGCACGAGAATTGCTTGAACCTGGGAGGCAGAGTGAGCCAGGATCACACCATTGCACTCTAGCTTGGGTGATAGAGTGAGACTCTGTCTCAAGAAAAAAAAAAAAAAAACACAGCTGTTCTAGTTAACAAGGTAGACAGAGAGATTGTGATAAATATAAGGGAGTTAGGGGATTTTTGGAAATTTTGGAGCCTGGGCTTCACCCCAAGAGATTGTGATATATTGGGTCTAAGATGGGACCAAATTTACAAAACATTATTTTGTAACACCTCCCCAGATTATTGTAATGTTTAGTCAGAGTTGAAAAACACTGACTCTTGGGAGCAAGTGGTAACACCAGAAGTGGCATTGTCAGAGACGCTGTGGAAGAACAAGGAATAATGGTGCCTGGGGAATGACTGCAGGGATCCCACCCAGGCTGGGAGGGGCCTTGGTGAAGGTGCTCGGTTTCTGATCGTTCTCTTGGAACTCTCATATGGAAGATATAAGTGTTAACCAATCACTCTCTCTCTTTACAGATATTAATGGACCATATTACCAAGGACCAGTCCACATGAACCACACACTCTAAAAGAAATATTTTTTAAGATAACTTTTATTTTCTTCTTATTCCTTTCCTCTTGATTGTTTTTCCTGTAATTTCATTCTTGTTTTTTCATCTCATTATCTAAGTTCTGCAGAACACAAAGGAACTTGCTTCATGGCTCTTTAGATGAAATGGAAGTTCAGGGTTCCTCACCCTAGTCACTAAAGAAGGATTTTACTCTCCCAGCCCAGAAAGGTGATTCTTTCTTTACCATTTCTGGGGACTTTAGTCTTAATTAGGTACCTTATTAACAGGAAATGCTAAGGTACCTTCTCTGTGGAACAATCTGCAATGTCTAAATCGCCTTAAAAGAGCCCATTTCTTAGCTGCTGAAATCAGTGCTCTTTCACTTCTTCAGAGAAGTAGGGATGGTATCTACCAGGCAGGTAGGTTAGATGTAGGTGGTGCATGTTAATTTCCCTTAGAAGTTCCAAGCCCTGATTCCTGTGTAAAGGTGGTATGTCTGGTTCAGAGATGTGTATAATGAGCATTGCTTGTTTAAGACCAGGAGGCCCACTTGGATGTATAGTGCAGCCTTTCCTCTACTCCCACCAGACTTTCTCATTTTTCTAGTTTTTAACTCGACTGTACTCTATTGAGTTGAATTTTGTCCCCTAGGATTTATTTCTATTGTCTAAAAAGAAAAATTAAGGAAAATTTTTAGTGTTAATGCTGAGGAACTGCTTGAGTGGATAGTTGTTACCAATTTCTCTTTTGAACCCCTGGAGCTAAGGATGCTGAGTCTAGAGAAATGCTAGTCTCAAACCCCGTTATAGCCCTGTGTTTCTAACCCATAGTTTATAGCATCAGTGAACTGGAGCCATAACAGCAGATTCTGTCAGCTCTGTCCCATACAGCTGTGCTGAAGGCGCATTTCTTGAGCCATTACTCAGTATAAAGCACTGAGTTCTATCTTTAGGATTTATCTTTAAGAGCAAATTTCTGGTCAGCTGTGCTGCTGCAACCTGAAATATTTAGAGGGGGGTAAGTGTGGATAGGAGGAGGAATGATAAATTGGGCCAGGGTGAGAAATACCTAGCTTCATATAATTTGTCTGGGACTATACACCCTATAATGGTAGTTTTACAGAAGTAATAATGACTTTTGATTGCTACATACCACAAAAAGTTTATGAACTGAGATCTTAAAGGGCAATTGATGTGTAGAGAAAGTAATCAGTACATCCTGGCTTCTGCTCTGAAAGAATCTCCAGAGAGGCTCTCTCAAAGATCAGGGAGATGTATTTCCATGCCATGCACCCTGCTTCCCAGCGATTCTGCATGGTCAAATGAGCTTTATGCTCATGAGCTTTAAGTATATAATTATCCAGGATTTTAAATCCTCAACCTGTTCTAGCTTGTGATCCTTCAAAGTTGGGTCACACATTAGTGCTAGATACTAGAAATTTTCACTTTTCCATTGATCAGAGAGACAGACATTAAAAACAAAAATAAAGGAAAGCTTTCACCCTGCACCTTCTTAGCAGGGGACAATTGTCTTGCCAAAACTTTTTTCCCTTTTCTCTCCCATTTTCCCCCACCCAGTCCCTTCTCATTCCTTGCCAGTGTGACCATGCTTTCTTCTCTGTAGATGTTAACAGTTAAGGCCCTTTTTCCTCGGGCATTTAACCAGCCAATCGGAACACCACTTCTGTTAGGGGAGGTAACCTGGCCAACAACGTGTCTGTCACGTCGGCCCTACTGGAGGGAAGGGACCCACATTCACCTGCCCTCTGGCCTGCCCCTGATCCCATATCTATTACTGTGTCCATAGGAATAATAGGTAAGGGCTCTGTCTCTGTCAAGCCATGTAACAAAGGACACTGTAAAAAAAAAAAAAAAAAAAAAAAAAAGTCTGGCATCAGAGGGAGCATGTGGAGAGCAACTTGGGAGGAACGAGTTCATTTTGTATTGAATGATTTTTAATGAATGCAATATTAATCCTTGCAGATTAGCAATAATCATTAAAATCAGTTAAAATGATAAGACCTTATTGGCAGTCTGTGTGTGTCATTCTTTGTTGAACAGCAAAACTTCACTAGAACCTGTTTTCTAAGGTATGACAAGTTACAGGTCAGCAGCATTTAATGGAGATTTGTTGAGGACCTAATTTGTAGAGGCTGGATGCAGTATTCTTCAGTAATACCTGAAGTTTTGTATTCCTGCTCTGTGCCAAGCACCCGGCCTGGGTACTTTCACTCCTAACCGCCTTCAGAAAGCAGATTTGCTGCTTAAGCCTCAGGGCTCCTCATTTGCTTAGTTCCTTCTAAGACCTAATTTCTAAAGAATGCCCCCAAAATTATGTAAGCTTCAGCCTCCCTGCCACACCTGTATCCATTTCTAAAGTGATCTCAGTGTCGTCTTTTTTTTTTTTTTTTTTTTTTTTTTTTTGAGACAGGGTCTCACTCTGTCACCCAGGTCGGAGTGTAGTGGCTTGATCTCAGCTCACTGCAACTTCCGCCTCCCAGGCTCAAGCAATCCTCCCACCTCAACCTCCTAAGTAGCTGAGACCACAGTCTCAGCTAATTTTTTTTGTATTTTTGGTAGAGATAGGGTTTCACCATGTAGTCCAGGCAGATCTCAAAACTCCTGGGCTCAAGTGATCCTCCTGCCTCTGCCTCCCAAAATGCTAGGATTACAGGCATGAGCTACAGTGCCTGGCCAGTGTCTTCTGATGTAACCAAGTATCCGTCTTAGTCAGTTTCTGTTGCTCCAACAAAATCCTGAGACTGAGTAATTTATGAAGAACAGAAATGGATATTCTCAGAGTGCTGGAGGCCAGGAAGTCCAAGCTCAAGTTGTTGGCAGATTTGGTGTATGAAGAGGGCTGCTCCCCACGTCCAAGATGGTGCCTCTTATGCATCCTCATACAGCAAAAGGTAGAAGAGCAAAACGGGCCTATTTCCCTCTAGTCCTTGTTTAAGGACATTCAACCCATTCATGAAGACAGAGCTCCTAGAAAGGCCCTACCTCTCGATACTATCACATTGGCAATTAAGCTTCAACAGATCAATTTTGAGAGATGCTCAAATCACAGCATTCCATCCTTGGACCCCCAAATTTATGTCCTCCCTATATGCAAAATACATTAAAAAAAAAAAAAAAACCCTAAAAGTCTTAACTCATTCCAGCACCAACTCAGAAGTCTAGAGTCTCATCTAAGTCAAATACAGATGAGACTCAAGATACAGTTCATTCAAGGCCGGGCACAGTGGCTCATACCTATAATCCCAGCACTTTGGGAGGCTGAGGCAGGAGGATCACCTGAGGTCAGGAGTTCAAGACCAGCCTGGCCAACATGGCCAAACCCTGTCTCTACTAAAAATACAGAAATTAGCTGGACCTGGTGGCGAACGCCTGTAATCCCAGCTACTGCGGGGTGTGGGATGGGGGGAAGGGGGCGCTGAGGCAGGATAATTGCTTGAAACAGAGGCAGAGTTTGCATTGAGTGAGCCAAGATGGCACCATTGCACTCCAGCCTGGGCAACAGAGCAAGACTTCATCTCACAAAAAAAAAAAAAAAAAAAAAAAAGATACACTTCATCCTGAGACAAATTGCTCTCCAGCTGTGAACCTGTGATATAAAATGAGTTACGTACTTACAAAATACAATGGTGGGATAGGCATAGGGAACGTTGTTACTCTGAAAGGGAGAAATAGGAAAGAAAAAAGGAGTAACAGATCCCAATCAAATCTAAAACCCAACAGGACACACGTTAAATCTCGCACTTCAGAATAATCCGACTCCCATGCCTTACCTTCTGGATGCACTGGGGTGGGGTTTGGGCCCCAAAAGCTTTGCTGGGTGCAACCCGTGTGGCAGCTCTCAGGTTGGAGTCTCCTGTCTGCAGCTTTCCCAGGCTGGAGTTTGTTTTAGGTTCTTGAAGCCACTTTGTTCCCATAGCTCCACTAGGCATTGCCCTAGTGGGGACCCTGCAGTAGCCCTGCTACTGTGGCAGTTCTCTGCCTGGAACGCAAAGCTCTCCAAGGCATCCTTTGAAATCTACGTAGAGGTAGCTGTGCCTCCGTAGCTTGTGCTCTCTGTGCACCTGCAGGGTTAGTGCCATGTGGACACTGCCAAGGTTTATTGCTTGTGACCTCTGGAACAGCCGCTCACATTGCATGAGG